TTATTATTATCATTATTATTATTGCACATTTTCTTTATAAAATAAGGACATTAAAAAATGGCATGTTGAGATTATTTGATTTTCAAAACTGTTTATTGGATATTTAATGCATGAATTTATTTTTTATCTAAGCATGACCTTTTTATCAAGTATCTATGACCTTCATTTATTTGTTTCTTTGATTTTGTTATAATGAACACTGCAAGATGTTAAATGTTACTGAACAATGACCTAGAAACAATGCTTTTAGGACTGAGTAGACATTTTCTTTTCATAAGTGATTTATTTTATTCTGGAAATAAACCTGTGAAAAAAATAAATTCTATAACATTATATATTTTCCACAAGAATAATTAAAATACATACACTTTCTAAAAATAGTATATTGAAGTTTTAACTTTTGATTCCGTCAGTTTTATATTATTTGCCTTAGAACCCTAAAATGTGCTTGACTTATTTACTAAAACAATTTCATTTGTGTAAAAATATAGAAATGGAAATTTTATCTAGAAACAATATTATTTCTATGTCAGCATTTGTGAAGACGTGTTGCTTTGCCTGATATGACTACTGGCACATAAACAAAAACTTGGAATAAGCAAGAATTATAAAACATTTTCAGTCTTGTAATTTACCCAAAGGACATAAAGAGAAGATAATAACCAGTCCAAAATTTATTATTAAAGAATTAAAATTTAAAACTAAAAACAAAAATAACTGATTATTAAAGATTATTGGAAAATTCCTCAAGGATAAAAAAAAGTTATGCAGAGTGTAAGTGCTACTTTATCTTCCTACTTTCTCTTATATTTGGGAAAGGGAACATTAACGAGTTAAGATTATTTTATGAGAATAATTTTTATGGAAACTATAAAATAGTTGAAGTATCTTGCAATTCAAGACTACTTCCTTTTCATCAGTCTTCAAGCTAGATACAAGTATATATTATTTTGTAATTTACTTCGGCATGTATACAAAATAAAGCTAAACTCTATCAACAAAATTGAGGAATAAAGTTAGAGTGCTTTTTGGTTAATACTTTACTCACCTTATTTTTTGCCTCAGTTTTTGTTTTGTTTTTGTTTTGTTTTGTTTTGTTTTGTTTTTTTTTTAATTAAAAAAAACTCAGAAAGAAAATTATTTTACCACAAATAAATAAAATTATTTTAATTATTTTATTGAGGTTTGTTTTCTCTTTATTTATTCTTTCCTCCAAATAAGCTTTATTATTCAGACTTATTTGGATTACTATAACCATTAGAGGGAACATATTTAAAGTATATTTGATTTACTGTAGAAGATAGCATAAACAATGCTCATTTTGATTAGATTTTCACAAGGTTTTCATTGGCAAATGATGTCCAGAAAAATTTTTGGTAACTGCCTTGGAAAACAAATATCTCTTAAATTATGCATTTCTTGCTTAGGCTTAGCTATATACTTGTCAAAGTATATATAGTATTTTTTTTGAGAGTTGCAAAATTATTTTATGCATTAGCCAAAATCATTCCTTTCAGAATATTTCCAAATACTTCATGGTTTAAAGTTCTGTAAACTCATTTTTTAATTTAAATAATCTATGACACTTTGCTCTTATATTTATAATTTTTATTTTGTTGGGTAGAACATATAATATTCTGTTTTTCTGTTATTACAAGATGGAAAGGTAAGAGTAGGATTATTTCAAAACAAATATTTTTTACTATTGAAAATAGCTTTCTAATTTTTGATAGTGTTTTTAAGGAATTTACTTTTAAATGTATTCTAATAAATATCTGCTTAAATATCACTAGAATTTATTTTGGAATTGTCTAAGTTTAAAACTATCCAACGAAAGTATTAGACATTATATTGTCAATTTTAGTCATTTTTACTTAAATTTATAAAAATTATACTTGAATATTAAGCATTAATGTTTTCTTGTCAGGTCTTTTCTATGGAAATATTTTGCTAATTTGCTGATTAATTTCTGATGTCTATCACCAACAATCCTTGTATCCTTTAATTTTATTTCTTCTTTTTTATTTTATTTTATTTTTTTGCTTAGGAATCTACTTAAACTGACACAAGAATCCTGCTTGCCAAAATCATGTGCATTTCATGTATATTTTTTTATATCTAAGAGAGAGAGAGAGAGAGAGAGGGAGCATTTAATCATAAACATGCTCTGAATAATATACTGCAAGCTCTAGCTACATTGAAATGTTTACTCTTAGTTTAATATTGCAAGTAGTATCACCTGGAAGTCCAGGTTTCCTTTTCCTCTGGCCATTGTTTACTTATAGTCTGTTCATCGAGTACCTCACAAGCTAAGAGAAAATACAAAGTCAAGTTCAAGTTAATTGCTTTAGAGTTTTTGAATTTTTTAATTCAAAATTTCTCTCAGTTCTATGAGCCACAATTCTTCAAATTTTTAGAGTAGTGAATAGAACTTTGCAGTCGGTGATAGGCTAATGTTTACGTTAACTTGTACGTCTTTGATTGACTCAAATTTTAAAAGTGTAGAGAAATATTTCTGACTATTACTAAGGAATATTTAGCAGCATCTGTTCTACATTAATATTAATGTTTGCTAAATGAAGGTTTGAAGTTGTTATATATATATATATATATATATATATATATATATATATATATATATATATATATTTATTAAAGACATTTTTATGTTTAACGTTGTTATTTTATAGATATTTTTAAACATAAAAAAAAAATGTCTTTAATAAATAAATTGTCGGACCTTGTCCATTTCTTAATATATATATATATATATATATATATATATATGTTCATATCATTCATTTCTTTGAGTTTTAGTAATCTTTATAGAAATTATTTCAAGAGGCTTTTACAAATTCCTGTTCATTTCTGAAAAAATTATTTCTCAAAAATCTTTAGTGTTTAGATATGCTGATTACTAAGCTATCCATATTCTCTAGTCTTTTCAAACATATACAGAATAATTTACATCAATTAATGTAGATTTAATTTAATTTCTACTGGTTAGGTGTTTGCAACAAACTTTTTTTTTTTTTTTTATGTTTTGAAGAATATGAAGAGTTGCTACTTACATCTCAATGTATTTTATAAACCATTATATATGTATATTTTATAGGCATCATTTTTTTTCATGAAAATTACTTCATGTAGTTGTTGATTCTTATCTGAAATAGAACTTTATGATAGCAGCTTTTGAGGTTCAGTTCATTTGATGACAACGATGTCAATTTCAGTATTTGATTAGTATTTTATATTTACTTTCCAAGTTTTTTTTCACATTAACCCATGTGAAAATCACATAATTATTTTATATAGTTTGTTTGTTGGCTTTATACCAGAGGAAGTTAAGTTTTATAGCTATCAAATGTTTTTTTTATATATTGTTTTATAAACTGGTTTAGATTTCTGCTTAAATTCTTTTTCATTTACATTTTTATAGGAAGCTCCTTTACAAAAACAACTGTTCATTTTTAAGGAAATAAAAATGTCTCATATGAAAAAAATGAAATACTTTTTTAAATGTTATTAAAAAAATATGAAGTAAATGAAAAGTATTATCACAGTGAATAGTTGAAAAGGATCATTCCATAAAATAAAATCTGAAAATTGTAAATTCATTTTAATTACTAAATGTATCTTGAAAAGTAACTGGGAAATTAACTCCAAATTAATTAATAATGTAGTTTTAACAATAAAACCATTAACAAATTTATTTATCAAAGTAAAAAAATAAATAAAAAATTTTGTTTAGTAACTGCCCAACCTGATGAATTATTGTTTTTTATTAGTAATCTTTCTTGAGCTTTTTATATCATATAAGCAGCTGTACTGGCAAAAGAAATAGGATTCTGATCTGAGTCTTAGTTTGGGTGGCAAAAATTAATATAGCTGTCTTTGTTTTATAACTTGTAGTCCACTTCATTAGTAATATGGAAATATAAGTTTCTATTCATTGTTTCTATTCTATTGACTTTGGTAACTACTAATTACTGGTCCATTTTATATTTTCTTTTTTCTTTTTATAAATCCCAAAATAGCAATATATGAACATACCTACAATTTTTGTACCTTACTTTCAGCTTGTACTCTGAGGAAGGAAGACATTGCACTGAAGAATGTGCAATGTGTTAGAACTGCATGCTCTTGAGTGAATCCTGAGTGAAAACCTGAAAGCCTGCCCTTCCCATTTTTATTGGCAACTGTGTGATAATTGCTCGTAAACTTTACTAGAGTCTATATTTATTGCTTGCTCATTTGTTTCTGCATATACCATGTTAATTTAGATTTGCAACATTTGATTTTCCAACATTAATCAAAACAACTTCCTCTTAATAAGGAAACAGACATTACTAATAAAACTAGATAAACATCACAATAGGCATGCTCCCTACTGAAACAAATATTTGTAATGCGTCAATGTAATTTAATTATTCCTAAAAGTAAGTATAATTAACTGAAAAAAAACATTTCATCTGAAGCCCTCTTTATAAATGTTTGTTTTGATTTCTTTTCTTATTTAACATTTAAATGTATGCTTTCCATGATTACTGTGTAGTAGTATAGTTTTCCTTCTGAAAATTGTAGAGCCTACTAAAAATGTTTGAATAAGTTGTGGTGAGAATTTTTTGTCAACATTCATGTTTTGATTTCATCTTTCATATAATGAAATGATTACGTAGGTTAAAATATTTTATAAAGCTTGCACAAATAAATGTACTTCGCAAATTAATTGCAGTGCACACAGATGTATACAGATACAATGCATGTTTGCTGCATGTTGAGTGCAAAAATGGTTAAACTATATAATGCATGGAAAAAATTGCCTGAATCTAAGTAGACATGTTTTACTTGTCAATGTATTGAATGATAATACTTAGGTTACAAGAAAATACCTTTCATTGCCTTTTACTGAATGATGAATTCATTTATAAGATATCAGAATGTTTCACTTCTAACCAAAAGTATCTAACCAAATTTTGTATATCTTCCATTTATTTCAG